ATTAGAAATGGCGAGCTCAAATCGCTCTGTTAATATTGGCGAGCTCACTACATCGCCCTCTTGTTAAAGAAAGGCGAGCTTACCACGATTTGTCAATGCTGAKGAGTTCATCTRGACTTGTATAAGTAGGACYAGACGAKGAGCTTTTCTTGACTTGTATAAGTAGGACGAGTCRAGCTTGTTTTGTTAAAGTTATTACATGCCGAAGTGATTGGCAAGCATTTTTATTCGGCTTGTCTTAATATAATATCTCGCCAAATCGTGACACTTCGTAAAAATTTTAATCTTGGCAAAGATCAAAACTGTTTGTCACCAGTTCCCGAAATACGATGCCATCATTCATTGCTTCGAATGCCTATTCATACTCGGTCCTCCCTCCTTTCTCTCATAACTTCATTTCCTCCAAACTCCAAAGGTAGAAAACTCTCTCTTTCTCTCCCTTTTTATTTATTATTTATTTACGTCTTCTAGGGTTACACCAACTACGCGCCGTGCCGCCGCGTCTATTGTTTCCGTCGTTCTCCTAAGTTCTTCGTCGACGCCGTAGCCGTCTCTTTGTCTCTCTTCCGGAATTCTCTAATCGTTACCGCCGTCCGATCTATTTGAAATCGCCGTAAAGCGGAACGGAACCACATTGAGCTCGCTCCGTCGCATCCAGCTTGTTGTGACGTCGTGGTGCCGAGGTGAACTCCTTCTTGCCGTGGTGAATATTGTATTGTGTCGAGCTCGTTCTGTTCGTTCTTCAAATTCATGCCAAGCTCGCTCCTTCGGCAGTTCTAAACAATCATTGATTCGACATCCTTGTTATCTCCGCCGAGTTCAATCGCGGGAGTCTTGGTCGTGGCAACTCGTCTTCTTTCGCCGAGGTGACTAATTCCTGATTCGACCGAGGTGAAGTGCAGAGATTTGAAGCCAATTTTGTCAATTTCTTATGCCGAGCTTGCTTTGAAGGTTAGCCGAGCCGAGCCATTTTGAAGAAGTCGCGAATTTCTTTGCTGAGGTCATTCTTTGCCGATCGTAATGTCTTCCGAAAGTTCGAAGCTTGATGCCGAGACCCAATCCCGAGTCGTGTGCTCTTGGCTTCGTCCTCATACCAAGGTTATCTCGGAAAAAGAAAAAGGAAATGAAAGTCCTGGTGATTCTGGCAACTCCGTAGCCGGTCTATCTAAGTCGAGAACAGATGTTGCCGAGCCMAKTCCTCTCGTTGTGGACGAGTTCCGCCTTCTTGACGAGCCTCTTGAAGTGAAAACCGAGCCAAATGAGTTTGAAACTGCTGTACATACTGAGGCTTACAAACAGGTCTTTGCCTTAGCCGGACCATCTCAGCCAGGTAAGAAGAAACGCCGAATCAAAAGGAGTGTTCCCGATCCACCTGGTTCAATCCTTTCGACCGAGGACTCTCTTCATGATTTGAGGGAGAGCTGCCACTTTTCTGAAGATGTTGAGATATTGGTACCATCTTCTTATTGTCGAGCTGACGAGCCTCCAGAAGGATTTTTTACAGTGTACGAGAGCTACTTCCGCGACTGCTTTCTATGGTTTCCAATCTCGTACGTTATTTGGAGTTTTTGAAGGAGCCTGAGCTGTCTATTTCCCAGATCACTCCCCGAGGAATTCGTCATATGGTTGGAATTCTTGTTCGCGGCTATGAGTGCGATGAGGACATTAGTGCCTACCATTTGTTGAATCTTTTGGAATTCAGACAATCCTCTCCAAAAAACAAGTTTGTCTATTACGCGTCGAACAAGAAGGATCGTCGCATCATTAGGGGATTTCCAAGCAAAGATCGCCAATGGATTGATTTTTTTTCCTATGTGCCGATTTGCGAGGTGACATTAGGCAATGGTGTTGGGCTAATTAAGACGAGCTGGCAGGGAATGGGTAGCCGACCCATTGCCCGTTTTTGGCCCGGCTCGTCGTGTTTTCGTGCCGAATATATTTATTCGAATTTTAACCTAACTCTTGTTTCCATCTGTTTTGCAGTTCCTCATCCGTATCCTAAGTGTCCAGACGGTGTTTATTCTTTAAGTGAAACCCTTG